AATTGTTATTTCCTAACATACTTGAACCTCTTGGGTTTTTCTTTTATTTATTTATTTTTCTTTGCACTTGTGTGGTCCCACCTTCAATCTGGACTCAGCTTGCTCTACGTCCCAATGCCTGATTGATCTCATCTACCCAAGATCAGTGTCACAACGTGGGTAGGTTAGACTTGAGATCAAAACAATTACTCCAGTAACCAGACGTTGCAAGTGAGCTGGGAACGATAAAGCTGGCATTGAACCGGTACAGCTGGTGAAGCCGACCAGAATTCGACCCTGGTGCCACATATTGGTGCCTTGACCACTGGATTCGACGGCTGAGTGTCACATATTGGTATCCTGATTTTTTTTTACATGATAATAGCGACGACCACCGAACAACCGGGACACAGGCTGGTGGCAGTGACAAAGAGTCAACACTAAAATGCCGGTAGAAGAAACCTTACAGCTTTGTGCCGTGACTGGGAGTTGACCACAGGCCGATGGCTTGGTGTAGTATGAGACATTAGAATCAGACCCCCTAAGACAGCACAAAGATCCCGCTAGATAATCTGGTAGAGAGAGGTTGACATTCCATACAGTTCACAATGGAAGGAAGGCAGAAGATCAAATGGCCTTTCTGGATGTATTAATAACTCATGTAATATGGGTTTAAGATATCTGTCTATATTTCTGAGATGAGGTATTATGTACACTATTTACATTATTCGGACATCATCTTTGTTGCCATATTTATCACAATGTTTTGACCATTATACATTCCTGCCTTCTTCAGGTGCTTGGAATGTCGAACTGAACCCTCCATCACTGGGGTAGACTGTCCTAGTCCCATGTGCCATGTCTAATGGATGTCAGTTATCAGTTATCTCCTGTTAATTCCCCTCTCCAAGTTCTCCACTGCCTTAACCAGGTATTGAACTCACACTCTTTGGGTCCTGTCACTGGATCTAATGCACACTTTTATCCACTGTGCCATGTGTCTTTGAGGATTATAAAAACTAATGTCTTCAGCAACCATTTTTTTTACCAGTGATCATATTGCAATTTTTTGCTGTTATCATTGCATATTTTTTACCAGAGCTTATATTGCAATTTTCATTGTTATTATTGCTTTTCTCTGGCACTTCTTATTACTATTTCCCATATTGTATTCATTTCTATGCTTAGTCAGCTCAGGAGATTTTTGTGGCCTAGCATATGTGCTGATTCCTTAAGTTTAAGAGTTTTCCAATGATGTTCTTTGTCTATGATTTCAACCTCATCCCATAGAGAGCAATGATTTCCCTTTTCTCTCCATATGTGGTCAGCCACATCTGATTTTTCCACTTCCCCTTGTGTTACAGTTTTTTAGTGTTCTTGAAGCCCTACCTTAAGGGGGTTGGCTGTCTCCCCTTTATATTTCTTTCCACAGCTGAACAGGATGGCGTACACACAGTCTTTAGTCATGTTCTCCTCTATGGTGGGGCGTCATACTTGGGAGAGATAAAGGATTCAGTTCGACATTCCAACTACTTGAAGAAGGCCAGAGCGTACAATGGCTGAAACATTGTGATAAAAATCTCAACAAAGATGAGAACAATAGTCTGAATAATGTAAATGAGTTTAAGATATATTACAAGTCAACATTCACTAGACAGTATCTGAAATTAAATTCCCACCATTAAATTTGATACAGTATCAAAAAAGGGATTGCCAAACGTGTAAGATGCAAACTAGACACATACTAATAAGAGATGATCAGCATTTCAGGATAACAACTATTTTTCAAATATAATATTAACTTCCATATGACAATTTAAAACCTTCAGGGGTATATCTGAAAGTATCCAGGGATACTGTGGTCTGTACAACATCAGGATGCATTTCAGTCCTTTGGGGATATATCTCCTGACCCAAGCCTTTCTCAGAAGAAAATATGACCAAGAACTCTGTGTATTCCATCTAATGCAATTGGGGAGGCTGGTAAATATTGTCTAGCTGGGATCTGTTGTGTATGACTCAAACTTATATGAGAACTACCGACCTTCCAATAGTAGCACTCACTACTGGGTTGACTTGCGATGACCTTGTGCATAACTGTTACCTTTATTCTTATTGTACTGGTTTTTACAATAAACCTTTACTTATTTTATCCACTATGTTTGTCAAATATATATTCCTATTAGCATGGAATATAACAGTTGTTAATAACCAGCATTAGCATACTTTTAAAAAATAAGAGACCAATTTCAATCTTTCAAGACTAATTATTCAAAACAGGTATCAGTCTGGTGTAGTGTGTTCAAAGAGGGACATGTGAATGTGCGGGAAAGCTTTGTGTCGAGCATCTGTTCATCCGTAACCAAAGACAACATTGAATGTTAGACAGAGCAAACTTCATATGGTTATAGATAGGACTTGATCATCAAAAGTTAATGGTGCATGAAATTATCCATGAGAGATTTGGATATTAGAAAGTGTCATTTTATTAGTCCCTACCGGCCATGTCTCATCATTTATCACTTGAAATGGCTAGCTGTAACTGTAAGTTCTATGCTGACAGTTTCTTTTGCCATACTACTTACTGAGGGAACTTTATTTTGACTTCTTGATTTCCAGTCAACTTTGATCTTCAAGAATTTAAGTTTAATGTCAATTGTTATCTTCTGTCTTCTTGTTTTATTTTTCTTTTTCCTTAATGGTGTTTCTTTTTTCTCTTACTTTCACATTCATTAACTCATTGCATTTTAGTTGTTTTATTGCCCTGCTTAGGGGTGAAACAATTTAAAAATGAAAAGTAAATGTTTTTTTTATCAATATCTCTTGCATGTGTTTTATATAATTTTATGTGTGTGTTTGTTATTACAGAACATAAATAGTGCTACAGTGTAGCAGCTACACTATTTTTGTTTGGGAACAGATATGTAGTATGTACTTGTACTATGTCAGTTGTTAAAGTTGTATATGTACATTCGTTAATGAAAGTGTAATAAACTTTCAAAATGCCAAAATAATTTTTCTTTTTAAATTCTCATAAATTTGAATAATTAATCATGTAGCTAAAAATACACACACACATACATAGACAAGCAAATGTTAAAAAAGTATTTTTAAAACCTTACTTTTTAAAATTTTGAGATTATTGTCTTTTTCATTAAAAAAAAGTTTTTGAAAATTTTAAATTGTTTCCGAAAGGTTGCAAATGAATTTAGTGTTTAGCTTTTAGTTTGTTTTTTAGAAATTAATTTAAAAAAATAGCATTTACAAAAAAAAAACCCCGAAAGAAACACACACAAAAACAAAAAAGAACGTATAAAGAAACTAAAGCAAATTTTTATAAACAAGCGAGAATATTTTGTAAATAAACATTTATTCTTTGTATGAATAAATGCGTTTTTATATTAAAAATATTGTTTTAAGAAGTATTTGATCATTTCTCATATATTTCAACTTCGGTTTGTTATTTTTGGTAAAAAATATTTTTTGCCAAATAGAAATAATACAATAAAAGAAGGTTTGCAGAATACCAAAAAAACCGACTTTTATAATTTTTCACAAAATATCTCAACTTTTTTAGTGTCGAAAATTAAAATTTGTTTTTATTTTGCTCTTTTCTTTTAATTAATTTTCATTGTGTTTACAAAATTAAATTAACATTGAAAAGTTATTAGAAAGTAAAATAAGTTAAGAAGAGTAGGTTTGATGATCTTTATGACGAGAACAATAAAATATTTTTGTCACTTTTCCAGTGAGAAAGAAATCGTACGGTAAACCGTAAACGTCGTAAAAGTATTTGTTTTTACTTAAAAAAAAAAAAAGTTATACCCCGTAGGCTGTACTTTTAGCTATCAAAATTAATTTTAATATTTTTCTATCCTCTGCAATATTCCGATCATTTTTATAAAAAATGGAACTTAATTTGGAGTGAGTGAAGTGAGTGTCGAGTTTAGAGAGTAAGACTAAGTAAGAGTAAGCCCCATCTGTACTTATGAAATAAATACTAATTACAATTTGTCTCTCTCTTTTTTTTAAATTTAAATTAACTCTATCTTCTCAACAGATCAACATTATTATTAAAATAATTAATAATCGTCTGCTACTAATAATGAAATATTAAAAAACAGGTTTCATTTTTAATTTCACTTAAAAAGGGTAGCAGTACGATGTTATTGTTAAGGTTATTTTTTAATTTAAAATCTGTATTTCTGCATGATTCACTGCACTTCATGTTCAAAATTTATAACACTTAAAATAAAAACGTATTATTGCCATTCTGCAGTAAATAAATTGCTGAAGCTAAATTTTTAAAGTCATTTTACTTTTTTTTGTAAAGCGTGTTATTGCTCTCTTTGATGATATTTTTAGTCAGAACATGGAACATAAAATAGAGGCAAATGCAAACGGAACCCTTTTTTTTTCTTGTATTCATTTTTTCTTTAAAATTATCGTTATTGTTTAACTTTTTTGAATTGTTTTTTTAAACAAAATTCAGTTACTACTTAACTTTTTGTTATTTACATTTTTTTATAAAGTGCCCTGAAACTGATTGAATAATGTGGATAAGATAATTTCTATTTTGTTTGTTGGCTAATAATTAGATACAAATACCGGCAAGTGAAAATAACACTGACGGTAGAGTTAAAAATTGAAATTCTTTATCTTTTCTTTCATTGCTGCGGAGAGGGACAATTTGCCGGGTCATTTAGTGAAAACCAACCAATCAGAGAGCTTTATCGTTCTCGTTAACTCGTGAAGATAAAATTTTATTTCCGTTTTTGTTTGTAAAAATACAAATAAAATAGAGAATTTACTTTTTATTATAAAATCAATTTATTTAAAGTAAAGTAATTAAAAAATAATCTCTTTTTAAAAATAAGGTCAACGGCCGCCGAGATAAAATATTGTCATCGACTAAGTGATCCGCCATATTAGTGGTGTGTATGTCGAATAGTGTGGTTGTTCGCTGCTTTTGTTAAGTCTTGTCTACCTGCGCTGTTTCAATTCCGAGCCGGTCGCCAATCATGAGCCAGTACATTCAAGTGGCCGAAGACGAGAACGAAGAGCCGATCGAGGTACCAACTGAAGACGATGGAGCCTTGCTTCTAACCACTTTGGTCGCTCAATTTCCAGGAGCTTGTGGCCTGAAATATCGCAATCCTGAAACATGTGGAATGCGAGGCGTTCGTCTTACAGACGGCCGACTTCATCCCCCAGATGAAGGATGGGGAAACCTTGTCTATATATCGGTGTTTCCAAAAGGTAAGTGTCTAAAATTATTATCTAGTTTAAAATTACAATCTATTGTTTATTTATATCTACATACAAATATCAGTTTTAATATGAACTATTTTTACGTCCTTGATAAAAATTCTCGCTCTTCGTGTAGTCGTGTAGTCAGCCAGTTCAATGGCGTCGTTTGTTGCCTGTCTACCTAATCTAGTATATTTTCTTTCTCTTGTCATTCTCTTTATCAATTTCTCATCTTTGTTTAATTCTTCGATTGTATTTGTCATTAATATAAAATGGATTTTAGCTTTTTATGAATTAAAATAAACATTTCCTGGGTGCATGATTGACCATGTATTGTGGTGTAGTAAATAAACCATTTTTTTTTTTTTTTTTTAAATCTTGAGCTTCCTATTATTACCGATGTTGTAAGTAAAAAGTTTTGCCTGAAATTCTTTTAACTGTAACTTGCGTGAATATTTTTATTTTAAGTTCGTATTTTTTTTCTTCGGTAATTTTTCTCTGAATTAATCGTTATTTATTTTTAAATCTTTAACTGATTTTGTATTTTCGTGTATATTCCCTAGATGCAAACACAAGATTGAAGATTAACGAAAAATTTGCAAAAAAATCGTTTGATAATTTTATTTTAAATATCTTTCCTGATTGCAACTTTTAGGAATACAATCCACATAAAAGAATGCGAACTTGTTTAAATTTCTGTACAGTTTGTCAATTGAGTTGAGTGTCCAATTAATCGACTCTTAAAGTTATTGTAATTAAATTGGCGCCAATCTCGTTCTGTCTGGCTCATCGTATGGTCGCCTATCTAATAAAACATGTGGGTACAAACCTATCTGAAGGTTGTTTATGTATATATATCTACATAAATACATGTAGATAGTTTATGTAGGTGTAATTTTGGTTGGCCATCTTCATGCCTTGTCTTCTCCTTTCTATTCTGATAATAATGTCCTTTCTCTCTCTCTCTCTTCCTCCTCCCTCCTTTCTTTATTCTTCAGCTGCTGCTGCAGCAGAGATTTTCTGAACCATTTCTTATGTTGTAAAAGCCTGGCGCACACAAACCAATAATCAGTCCCTAGTAGTCGTACTATAACTACTACTGCTACTACTTTCCTTCTTTTTAATGCATTTAATTTGTCACTTGCTCTCGTCCAACCTGACTGAAGAAAAGGGCGAGGCTTGTAAAAAAATTATCAATTTTTATATTTGAAGTGAAACCTGATTTGAACAATCACATCCATGTTCATAAAAAAAATGTTCATATTGTCAAGAAAATATCTTGGGATCCCTACAGTTTCATCCTCCTTTCCGCTAAAAAGTTAATCTTCAATATTGAAATTTTTCAAGTGCGGTTTATTCGCAAATATATTCTTTTCACAATTCCCCGTTTTCCAGATGTTTTCAGTTCTTGTTCTTACCTTTTCTGTTTTTCTCTGACCTTTTTCGTTTTTTTTTTTTTTTTTTTTTTTTACTGATCCAAAGTTAAAAGCGATTTATGATTTTTGAAATCAATAGGTTTGTTCATTTAAGCTTTCAAGAACAAAATACTTAATATTTCCCCTAAGAACAATTATACCATCCGATTTTTTTTGTAAAGAATACGCAAAAAAAGTAAGTCTTTGAGTTTATTCTTAAATAATTTAATTATTCAAGACTACGAAATTGTTTTTGCTAGATTCGCAGTTTTTAACAAATTTAATTTATAATATACAACGTTCAGACAGACATGAAATTAATGTCTTGTCTGTGAAAGCAAAAGCTTACTGTTGTCTTGTGTTCTTTGTTCCAATATTAAAATTTGATGAGAAAACCCTTATTAGAAAGTGAAGTCTGATTATTGCCAATTCAACATAAAATCCTTCATTTTGAGTTGGTAGGCTTTAAAATTACTAAACCTACGATACTCGTGTTGCTCTATTATTGAGAAACTTAAAAAAGCCCCAAAATTATTACCTTAATTAAAACATTCTGTTTGGAAGTACTTGTTTAACATATGCATATCTATTTAAAAAAAATGTAAACAGATTAGCAACTTATTGTTTTTGGTTTGTTTGTTTTTTCAATTTTTAAATTCATTACAATTTATTAGATATAGGGTTTTAATTTTTCGCGTATTTCATATTTTAGCGCCCGAGAAGTGTTTCACATACGTTTGTACTGAGTTACCTCCCTTAGATTGCCTTACCTAAGTTCATATTCTAACCTGACATTTTTCTGTAACATCTGTGACTAGTAACTCCTGGGCAATAATAAAAATTTAGAATTGAACTTTACCTCGCCTTCTATTCTGAGCTCGCATTTCTTTTTGTAACTATATGCTCAGATATATTTTTCTGTGGCTAATCTGAATTTGTAAAATTCAGATAAACCAAAGTCTGGCCTGTTTCTTAAAGTTCTTTGTATATTATGATTTCTATCGGGAAATAGCGTCCGAAATGCAATATCATTAATTACAGCTTTTTTATTTTATTTTTAATGCCACATCAATTAGTCAATCTTAGTTCTACACAGATTCCGTTTTTTCTTGAGTTGTCAAAGACTGGCTGTCACCCAAGAGAACCCGTCTGCCCTGCTATTTTTAACCTATATGTTGAATTATATTTCATTTCTTTTTTTTTTTTTTTTTTTTAATTTATTCATGAAAAATATTCGATGAAGTTAACAATTATTTTTTCAAAGATGTAGTTTTTCGTCTCTTTAAGAAAATGTCTCCCTTCCGTTGTTATTTTCTTTTTTTCTTTTTTTAAGTGAAAGTGTGTGAAGTGGATCTAACGGAGGAGGGTTCAATTTATTTACAATGTACGTATAATGCCTATATAGGCTCCATATTTGTGTACGCCATTTACAGTGTAAATAGATCGCTAAACTGGAACCTTTTCTGTCAGCCTTCATGAAAGTGTATGTGGGGAGTTAAAAAAAAAAACAAACATAAAAACCTGGGATTAAGTTTTAAGGTTTTCATAACTCATCAACGAATTGAGTTCCAAGTAAAAAAAAAAAAAAAAGTGCAACTGTTATCTTTTTAGGTTACGACGTTATAAACTAAAATTTACTATTTTCATACAAACGGACAGTGTCCAGTTTAGTAGTTAAACTTACATTGTAAATGTCCCCTAAAAAAATACATTGAAATTGAATTTCCCAAATAAATTCAAAGAACATAAAAATTGTGTAAGGAATATATTTTCTTACAGCAAATATATACTAAAGTTTTAAATTTAACCGTAATCTTTACTTTATTAGGAAAGTGTGCGTGCTCAGAAAATGAAACCGGGTAAAGTTTACAAATTCGAAATCTTGTTAAAGTTGAATTTTTTTTTTTTTTTTTTTTTTTTATAGAAGAATAAGTCTGAGAAGTAACTGAATCTATTAAGGGAGTTAATTCAATTCAGTATTTACAAAATCATTTCGGACGCTAAAATGAAAGATTACTAATTTATTGTCACATTTGGAATCTTCTGTACAAGTGGATTTTCGATGTGTATTTCTTTTTTTTTTTTTTACCTAAAGAAGCAAGAAAAATAGTTCTAATGACAATCTAGATCAAATGACAAATCTTTTATCTGGTGTGGAGAGTAATGATTTTACTATTATATTTTAGATTGCAATGAATAAAAAAAACTTAGTGGATGCAAGGATAAAACCTATAAATGGAAAATGATTTGTTTCATAAGATTTTTTTTTTTTTTAAGGCAAGCATTGTGCATGTCAAAATTCTTTTAGCATTATTTTAAAAATTATTCTATAGTATGTTTTCAGAATTTTCTTTTTTTTCTAATCATTTTAAATCAAGTCAAAAAATATCACGCTAAAAAGATTGTCAGAAAAAAATAACTTCTGTTTCTAGATGCTATTTTAACAAAATGCCTCTAGGATATGTCAAGTTTTACTAGAATGATATAGCTATTCAAGACCCTCTCTGATCATGGTAAGTGTTTACCTTTCAATACCATATTTTTAAATTACATATATCTCCTATGTTCTAATTTTTGTTTCTTTAAAAGAATTATGCTTATCTACAAGCTGGAGATTTTTGTCTTAAAGTTTCTGATTTTAAAAAATATTGCTAAATATTAATATGCTTGACTACACTTATTGTAGAATTTTGAAACTATAGCTGCAAGTTAGTAACTAAAGTTCATAAAAACATTTTAAGCACTATACATTCTCTCTCTCATATGTTTTTTCTGGTAGTTCTCAAAGTTCATAAATCTGTGTATCCAATTATTTTACTCTTCCAGTTTCACCTGATTTTCAAATAAATAGCATATTTACATGGATAAATTAAGATATTTATTGTAACTGAATCTATTATTACTTGTGTTCTTAGACTAAAACTCCCTTGATGCTAAAATATTCTGCTCATGTCAACACTTGATATTTACCTGACCTCTCCACTAAGGATGTGACACACAAGGTTTTTTTTTTTTTTTTTTTTTTTTTTTTTTGCAGATGATGCATGTGTATATGTATACATCTAGGCCAGGGAAAAAAAGTTACCTAGTCCCTGTCACTACTGTCATGCTGGTGTCGATATTACACACAGTTCAATCTTTCAAATTGATTTATCTTTTAGAAACTATGTGCTAAGTAAATGATCTTAAAAACCTGGTGTGTCTGTTTTCTGTAGAACAGTTTCACAAAAAGGATACTACTGCTTTTAACATTTTGTGGGTTGATAATTTAAATATGTCTTTTTGTATATTTACAGACAAGGTACTGACTAAATATTTATTTTTATTTGACATTTTGTATTCTGCAAGAATTTTAGCTTGTAACTTAATGTTCAACTGGGTTTGAAAAATTTTTACAAGTTTTCAATGTTGTCCTATGTTGCACATGTCAAACTATTAATTTGTTTACTTGTATTTTTTTTATTTATTCATTTATTTATTTATTTTTTTTTTTTTTATTTCATTACTGCTTTTTATGATTCTTACTGGTTAGATTCAATTGCTCTCTTGACAAATTTGTATGCCTTATGAATGAAAAATTGGGTTATATTTTATTTTTGTTCTACTGCAGATAATAAGCGCAAGGGTGATGATGGACTGGAAAATCCTACAGCTAAAACAAAGCGCCTGGATAAGCAAAAATGCAGTGACTTAATTGTACTTGGTTTACCCTGGAAGAGCACAGAAGAAGACTTGAGAAATTACTTTTCTCAATTTGGAGAGTTATTAATGGTGCAGGTGTGTAGGGCTTATTTTTGTCTGCTGCTGTTATTATAAGTTGGCATGGTGACTTGGTTATTTTTTCTTCTGAGTAAATAATTAGATATAGGCTCTAATTTAAGGTTTACTTCAGTTTATTTCCTTTTTTGTTACTCAATTGTGATTTAAGAAAATCATTTGTAATTATATCTGATTGTCCATGGAGCCAAAAAAAAAATATATACACGAGCTTGATTTCACACAAACATTTGAATTTTCTTAACAGGTGAAGAAAGACCCCAAAAGTGGTCAGTCCAAAGGTTTTGGGTTTGTTCGTTTTGTTGAGTATGAAGCACAGCTGAAGTGTTTGTCACAAAGACATATGATTGATGGTAGATGGTGTGATGTGAGAATTCCAAATTCTAAGGTAAACAATATTGACCTGTTGATATTTATTACAATTTAATACAAAAGGTTTAACATTTTTTTTTTTTTTTTTTCTGTATATCAAGATATGGGACACTTATTAGTCAAATTTTGTAAAAGTTTTTAAAATATTAATCAGTTGAACAGTTGATATTAAAGTTATATTTTAACTTGATTATACTAACATAAGAATGAAAACTTTTCAACCAAAAATGTAAGTTAACAATTATCTTCATTGAAAAGAAAATCTCATGCATCATACATGCATACTTTTTTTTTTTTTTTTTTTTTTTTTTTTTTTAAACTTTATGAACCGTTACTTGTGTATTTTAATTTTCCAATATTTCTTCTTTTTCAGGATGGAGGTCAGCAAACTATGAATAGGAAGGTTTTTATTGGCCGCTGTACTGAAGATATGACTGCTGATGATCTGCGCAGCTATTTTGGAAAATTTGGAGAGGTCATTGATGTTTTCATTCCCAAGCCCTTTAGGGCCTTTGCATTTGTAACATTTTCAAACCCTGAGGTTGCTCAAAGTCTTTGTGGTGAAGATCATATTGTTAAGGGTGTAAGTGTGCACGTCAGTAGTGCTGTTCCTAAAAACTATGATAAATTTGGGGATAAAAAGGGTCAACAAAATCAAGTCCAACCACAATATAATCAGGGTTATGGCCAGGGTGGCTGGGGACAAGGTAACCAGCGTGGGGGGCAGAATATGGGCAACAATATGAATAACATGGGTGGCTTGAATTTGGGTGCATTCCAGCTGAATCCAGCGATGTTGGCCGCAGCTCAAGCCATGTTAAGTAGCCAGGGTGGGTGGGGCCCTTTAGGGCTTGGGCAAGGAGCAGGTGACACCTCTAACCAAAACAGCAATCAGAGCCTAAGCAGTTTTAATACCAGTGGACAGGGTGCTAGTAATAACAGCTTCCTAGGATGGGGAGGCCAGACCTCGGACAGTAACTCTGCTCAAGCAGGTGGCTGGGGCCAGCAGAGCAAACCAGGTGGTGGTTGGAACTGAAAGATTTCTGTATTGTGAAATTGTTTTAAGTGTGGAGGTATGCATATTTCAGTATTTAATCATGATGTTCAAGATAAATCTACTTATTTTTAAAGAAAATTCACTAAAAAAAAAAAACAAAAAAAAAACAAAAAAAAAACACAAACAAAAAAAACAAAATGCAAAACAAAGAGGAAAAAAAAAAACTACTGTGCTTAGTGCTGCAAGTGTTTAGAAGTGAGAGTTCCTTCCACCCCATTATAATTATTATTTTCTCTTCATTGGCTCCATTTAATGTGTGGTTTATGCTGTTGGTCGACGACACGTGGGAAGACTACTCATTGTACATCCAGCGTCATTGGGCGGAGTGCATGACATGAGTGTATTTCTACAGACTTGATGAGATTGATGCACTGGATTAATTGATGGTGATGAACACAGTTGTGAAAGGACAGATCTCACATTTGAATGGCTGTCTATGGTGTGTTTCTTATGTATGCAGTATGATTGAATGCTGATCTGATCGTTTGTATAAGGAAATAAATATGAAGTGTATGCTTGCACTGTTGTTGTGCGTGAGATCATTTGATAGTTTGTATAGCTGTCACTGTAATGTGTTTGCCTGACTGATGAATGGAGGGGAGAAGATAAACATGTAGACACAATGTGTCTGATGTTGCAGTTATATTAACATAACCCATACTTTTTTAAAATGCTAAAAAGAGAAAAAAAAATTGACATCTATTTTAAATTTTGAATTCAAAATTTCTATTCATTGCACTGAACCATATCCTCTTAACAAATTTTGCATTTAACATAACTTTTCTAAAATGTATATTTTAAGATGTAAGAAAAAACTTTCATTTTAGGATGGAATATTCACAGGCATTTCTATGCTATGTTTTTATGAATTTGGCTAGATTTTCATTCCAAATTTACACATTTTAAAAATTAGGCATTTAACTGAAATAAAATGTGGCCTTTGCTAAGGGTTATGTATGGCATCTTAGAATTTGTCACAATAATTTGGCCATTTTAGGCCTCCTTTTCTTTCTTTTTTTTTTGTCTTGAAAGTATTGTCTGCAAGAGGTTTGGGTGAAGTATTTATTGTTTTGCCTGTGATGTTAATTATGAGTTTATAACTTGGGAATGGTTGTGCACTGATGGAGAAGTTTTAAATGTTTCATTCAACAAAAGGATTTTTTTTTTTTTTTGTTTGTTTGTTTGAAATTACTACTGCTTGATTGGGTTTTGGTGATATAACTTGCAGCATTTCAATCAGGGACTTATTCAAAAACCGTTTTCTCTTTATTTTTATAATCAAAGTAGTCTGAACTTAGTTTCAGCTCTATTTTTATAAGGAAAAATGTTAAGCACTCTATTTTTTCAATTTCTAACACTCAGTCACTAGTATTGAATGAATGCTAGACTTTGACTTTGTGCTTGCTCTTGTCTTAATGGTAATCCTCTGAAACATAACTTATGTACTTGTAAAAAGATTTGATGGCCTTTTTTTTTTTTTGTTTGTTTGTGCCATTAATAGCTTATGAAAGGATTGGTTGGTTGCCTTTACTGATAGGAACCATTATTGAACGTAACCCTAAATTTTGGAATGTCCAGCAGTTTTTGAAGACCACCTTTATTTTTGGCATTATTCTATGTGGAATAAATAGATATTCTGGTAATACTTATTGTTTTATAGATGTTTATATTGTACCTGCACTTCTCACCGCACCTTGTTGTTAGATATTATCAACTGTTAAAATCCTTAGTCATTTTAAGTATCTTATAAATAATGCAGGATTTAATGGCAATTGATTTTGTAGTAGTTTGTAAAGAACTTTGCTTTTGCAGTGGCTTAAACAGTTTGCTAATTTTATTAGGTATAATTTTCATTAATGGAAACCCTTAAATGTAGCTTATTAGGATGTACTTTTAATGTAGCTTAAAATTTTATAATTTTTCTAGAAAAAATAAATTTTATGATTTTTATTTTATGCAAGCCAACCATCTTTGTCTAGCATGGATAATATTTGGGCTATTTGACAATATCAATGTTTTATTTTACCATTGTGCAGTTTTTTTTTTTTTTTTTTTTTTGTTTTTTGTGACTGGGGAATAAGAATTTTTAAATATATTGCTAGTCAAACAGTTAAAAATCAGTACTTAAATTTCATTCTTCAAAGTACTTGTGTTGAAGTATCCTTTTATCTGTATTTGGCTTTAAAGAGTATGCTAACTTTTTTTTTATTCCTGAGTTACTAGTTAACACTAGTTTAATTTCTGTAATCATTTTTAATAGAAGCATTTTTCCTACAAAAGTTTGGTTAGACTTCAAAATCATTGATTAAACAAATCCTTTCCTAATCCTCTTCCATTGATATGTCAGGTAAACACACTCACAGGTAAGTTCCTCTGGAAATTGCCAACATTTGAAATCTTAGATAGTTGGAGAGTTCAATGTGCAATAAGCCATGAGTGGATATTGTCTATATTTTATGTTCCCAAAACACTAGGCATCATTTATGCTAATGGTTTGGGGAGTAAATGCTATTTGTTAATTTGTATATTGTCATGTCTACAACTTCTGGTGATAGATTTCACAGGGGAAATAGAAACTTTGTCAAACAAAAAAAGACTGAGAAGAAGAATAAAGATGATAAAAACAACAACAAAAAAGAACAAAAAAACAAAAAAACAAACAAAAAAAAAACAAACAAAAAAAAACAAAAACAAACAAAACATCCAAAAGGGATCAATAAAAAGAATCACTTAAGTGCAACTTTGCATTTTGAATTTGGTATCATGAATTTGATTCCTCTTCCTCATTTTCATATTTGTGTTTGTGTGTGGTGGGGATATTTTTAGCAAGTCATAATACTTGTCAGTATTCCTTTCTGCAAATCTGCTACTTATTTAGTATTTTAATGAATGCCTATAATTATTTTAAAATTGGTTCATAATTTTTTTTTTCTTTTTAAACTAGACACATTTCTAAACTTTTCTGTAAAATTAGACCCTAATTTGGTACATGTTATGCACATTCTAATTTTATATTAGTATAGGCTGTAATTAAATATGCTGTGTGTAGACTTTGGCAATAGAGAAATCATTTTTTGTTTTTAATTTTGAATGGAAAATGGATAATACATTTAAAAAAAAAAAAAAAACTGGCATTATTTTCTAATTTAATGTTTTAGCTATTTTTTAATTTTTTTAATTCCATGATGAAATTAATCTGCATCTTTGAGAATGATGCAAGAATTGTTGTTAATATAGGCAATGGGTGATCTAATTCTCTGATACCTTAATTTACTTAACTTTATATTACCATTTAATAAAAATTGGAGCTAGTGAGCTTATATTTGAGGACAGATAATATTCAATCTTATCCATTAGTTGATGTTCATAAATTTAGTACTGAAAGGAAAAGAAAAAGAACACTTTAAAGAGAAGATGGTGGTGAGGGTGGGTAAGTGTAAACTTTACTTCCAGGAAAGTTGAGACATGAAAATACATACCTATAGACTTTGAATTTCTTTAGTACCAGGTTCTAACTGCTCACCAGTTAGAAGACAAGTAGCAAGTTCAGCACTTGCTTTGTGGATACTCCAATTACAAAGGTTTGTAAAGACATATCTATTTTGCATGTATTTTATTTTATTTTTTTCCCTAATTTAGACTTCCCGCCCTACCTTGCTTATGCATTTATTGCTTTGCTTTTATAAGATGAGGGCTAACATTAGGGCAAGTCAGTATTTCAAATAAATGCAAACTCAATTTTCATTGCAAATTCTTTTTTCTCTGCTTGCTATGCATATAAGAAAACAATTTCTTGGCTTGGTAAGATTCTAACCATAAACTGCATGATCAACTCTTTCTAAAAAAAAGAATTAAAATTGTAAGACTCTCTTGCTCTGTAATAAATAAATAAATATGTATTGATATTAAGTAGAAACATTTCTGCTTGTTGCCATATTTTAATTTCTAAGTAAATTTCAAATTCAACCTTTAATCTTGCTCTAATGTTGCATGAATCTGTCACTCTCTTATAAAGATGACAAAATGCTTGCTTTGTTTTTATTTATTTTTTCAAGTAGGACTAATTTACACAAATATCTAGATTTGTTTTAAGCTTCCCAATTGGTTAATTCTTAATTTGTCACTTCTTGGGTAGGTAATGGGTATGCAAATCCCAATCAACTTTTTCCTCTCTTCAGAGCTTCACATCATTTGGTCAAAGGAACTTGTTAGGCCTTCCATTTCTTCCATCAGCCCAGGATGTGGTTCTTGATAAAAATTGTATTTAAATTTTTCCTCTTCACTCTCACAGGCTTGCTGCTTTTCTAGGTAAGTGAAATCTATAAGGTAAGTAAACAAATGAGATATTTCTTCACTGGGCATCATACAAATATATTATACTATAAGATAACCAATAATTGTATTTGTAATTTTTAATTATAGTTTAGAGTATGGATTTGAAAATGCTTAATGGTACCATGATTCTTGCAAAAGTTGTTAATTTTCATGTTCCATCATAACTAGGGTTTGATATTCTCACAAGTACCTGCAGAGTTAAGCAATGAGTGGGTTAAAACTTTAAAATTGGAATATCAATTTGTGGACAATTTAAAAAAAAAAAAAAAAAAAAAAAAAAATTTAGTTTATTACGCAATAACATTGTTGTAGCTGCTATATACTAGAAGTAAGTTGCTCGAGAAACAACTTTTATGCGTTTCATATTTTTATATTTTTGTAGTTAACCTAATTTTCATTTAATAAAATGACACCTCCAAAAGCATTCGTGTTTTGTTGCTTCTTCCAGAATGTGTGTATGCCTTGAACTGCTTAACTTCATAATTTGAATTCTTGCATAATGAGATGCCAATGTTAAAAGTAGTGAAATCATCAGGTATTTGCTCGATATTAAGTTTTATACTTAGAATTATTACTTCAAATTGGGTTGAATGATAGAAACAATTTGCATTACTAAAAGTTGTCTCCCTTGTTATGGAAATTAAAGTTCAAATTTTAGGGATCTTACTAAATTTTACATCTAATTTTTAAATAAGTTAATGGAAATTGGCTTATTTTTCATTGTAGGAGTGCATTGGAAGTGGTTTTAAAACACTTCTCACTAATGAAGCATGGATAACGTTTATGTTAAAGTGAAATTACATCTCACAACAGTTTAGATTTTTGCTTTTTAACTATTCAAAGTGAATTGATTTGAACTTTGTCATTTATCAGTTAAAACTTTTTTTTTTTTTTTTTTAACTACTTGTTTAGGAAGTTAGTTTACAATTTGAAACACTTAATGACATCCTCACTGATCATTAAATGTGCTGATTCAAACCTACGTTATGTTAAAGATTTAAAAAAAAAAAAAAAAGTTTATGAATTTGTCAACTCTTATCCATACTATCTGTCAACACCTTTATAGTTCATTGAAAACATCAGTAAAGACATTGGAAAATCGGGACCTATCAGTAAGAAATTCTTTTTATGATACAATTTTTATGCTATAAGTAATTGTTTCAATTCATTAATAAACCTTAAATTTGCTATTACTGAACATGTCACAAATGTTTTTGGAAGACTTGAAATGGCAATTAAATTTAATTTTAAAACTTAAAATATAAGAATTAGCCACCAGTAAACATTTTGAAATTGAGCAAATGCTTGATGTTCCAAACTATAATTTGAAATACACCAGAGCATTTTGCATATTGGAAATTTATGCTAAATTAGTGGAGGTACCTATAGTGGTATGTATTGTGAATTATCTTCATTCAAATTAGGCTAAATTTGTTGTGACTATCTTTTGGTATTTAATAGGCTAGTAAGTTTGGAATTTACTAGGTTATACTGCTTTTTTTTTTTTTTTCTAATTTATTTTTATTATATAGCAAGTTTTATGTAGCCAAAGACTTTTCTGATATGAAACTGCTTATAAATTTCATAGAATCAACCTGAAGTTGTCCAAGCCCCTAAACCACTTCTGAGAGATATTCATACATCTAAGAAATTTAGGTTAAAGGATTATTTAAATAATATCCTGAATATTATGGTGTTTGGCTAAAATCTGGTGTTTTGTTTTTGTTTTTTTTTTTTTTTTTTTTTTTTTTTTTTTGGGTGGGGGGTGAGGTAGTTCAACTGCCTTAGAATTTCACCAAGGATACTTTTACTTGTTGAGACCAGAACTATCTATAAATGCTTCCTAAATTTAGCTTGTCTTATTTACATATTCTTTTATTTTTGGTGTAAATAGCATGAAAGAAAATGGATTTAGTAAACTTAAAATGGTGACCTTTCGAAAAAAAAAAAAAATTTTTTTGTGAGGAAATTATTCATCGTGCAATAAGTGGTTATTTCCCTTAACTCACTAGATTATCTCCCTTGGAACTTAAGCGATGTTCACGGGTATTCAATTATACACTTCTATTTAAAATAAAACAATTCTTCCAGTTTGCTTTACAGTCAACTTTGATTTTCAAAAATGTAAATGCATTATCGATCATCTTCTATCTGCTTAATTCCTGTTCTTTATTTTTCTCTCTGCTAACTGTTCTTTTTGTCATTGTTTTACACTTGGTACCCATTTGTGTCTTAGCTTTATTGCTTTGCTTGGGATGAACTGATTAAAAAAAACAAAAAAAAAAACAAGCCTTTCATTTTTTTTTTTTTTTTCCAAATTTATACAGTACATATTTATTGTAGTTCAAATTATGGCTTTGAATTTTTTTTGCTAGTCTAAAATCTCTGCCATTTACCTTGCTAATGGAATTAGCTGTCCGTTTATTTTAAATGCATAAATTTGTCCCTGCTTCCTTTTCTCATGTTAATTGCTATCACCCTGTCATTCTAATAAAGTGGGCAGATTTCGTAATTGTTTTGTATAATTTTGATATAGTCAATTGATTTTTCTTTTTCAAACTCTGATATAGAATGTTTTAAAATTAAGAATATTTATATATTTTATTAGTGCAATAAAATCTGCTTTGGGATTTTTTATGTAGGTTTCTATTAGCATAAAACATTTAGTTAAATGTTATAATTTTATAAAGATTTAGATTTCTTTAAAAAAAAAAAAAAAAAGTTATAAATTTACATAGGAAATGTTGAAGCCACCATATTTTTATTTTATTTCGTTTTTATTTTATTTTTTTTTTACATATGCATTTCATGAAACGAAAACTGATTATTCAAAAAGTAGGAGTTTGATAACTACTCTGTAGTCTTAATTAAAGAAATCATCAGAAATTCTAAACCTATTGGTCAGCTTTTATGGTAAGAGAAATATCATCCCAGAATCTTTAATTTATTGAGATGATAAAATTAATATTTTATCATCTCAATAAATATATAAATAAAAAAGTTGCATAATTAGGTACTGATCTCTTTTCTCATTGTTTTATGAAAAACAACTGGCAAGGTACTGTGGTGTTTTTTTTTTTTTTTTTTAATCAAGGATGACTTAATTTTTACAATGCATGGATGTTGTGTGTGCATGTTTTATTCCCCAAACACGGTCAGAACATTGTGGCTGTGATCATGCTTTATAGTAGCTCTAACTTTTTTTTTTATTGATACATATAATACAAAGCTAAAAATAATGGAAGCATTAATAAGAAAAAGCCAAGAAACTTATACGAAAAATTAAATAAGTTAGTCGTTTTTAAAGATAGATATATATATCTCGAGTATATTTTAATGTATAACAAAAAGATTGTAAAAGTAGGGAATGAAAAAAAAAAAATCGAACAATTGTAAGACTCTACGATATAGACAAATTAATCACATGAATACATGGATTATCGCCCATGCACCATGCAGTTACCTCCCTTACCGCTATTTATCGCCCTTGTTCAGAAAAACACGTATGTTGATTAACATTCAGTCATATATAACAAAATATCTTGCAAATACATAGGTACCTTCGAAGATTAGCTAAAAATGAGCATACACGATGAAAATATGCTAGATGGCGTTACAAAAGCAGATAAAATGGTGCAAATGTTCTAAATTAAACGCAAGCGATCTTCTGCCTGATAATCAGCAGATAAAGGAACTCTAATATCAGCCTAAAATGAAATCTTTCATAGGAAATTTGCCCATACAACCATCCAATGCAAATGTATGTGATAAGAGGTAAAAATTTCAATAAGGATTCCAAAAATGAGGGATGTCTGTTTTCAGAATTAAACAGACATGCATAAAACTTACTGAAATCATAAATTATTTCTCAATCGTATCGTTATGAAACGACGCGCTAAAACGACACTCTTGTAGCGGCTCCAATTTCCTTGGCTTACCGATAATATATTTCTAATTTGTCTTCAAAAAAAATCTGTGGCATGTCGCATATTTTTTCTAATTCTGTTTTCGCATAATACGGATTATTCTGTAACGTTTAATATCGCAGAGGATAACTGGAACACATTGTCTCTCAGAAAAATAAATAATTGAAAGATATTTATAAATCTACCATTCGTCCTTGCTTTGAATATTCCCGTCATATCTGGTTTGCTGCTCCTGCTATGTATTTAGACTTTAGAGTTTCTCGATAAAATTCAAAGAAGAATCTGTAATATTATTAGTCTTGACTAGGTATGTTAGCTTCAATCACTTTCCCACCGCCCCAACATAGCTTCCCTGTGTCTTTTCTATAAATACTTTCATGTTAGTTGTTCTGATGAACTTTCCTCTATGGTACTTTGGCTTTATGTATTTAAGCACAGTACTAGATTGGTGGCAAGGTCTAATCGTTTTATAGTTGAAATTGCTCGATGTAATCGCTAGTTTTATGCTAATAGTTTCTTCTATCACACTCCTCGTTTGTGGAACTCTCTTCTGGCTTCTTGCTTTCCAGTCAACTTTGATCTTTAAAAATTTAAATGTAATGTCAATCGTTATCATTTGTCTTAATTCCTGTTTTTTTTTTATTGTTCTTTCTTAATAGTTTTTTTTCCCACTTAGGAACAACTTGTCTTTCTGGCTTTATTGCCTTGCTTGGAGTGAGATGATTAAAAAAAAATAACAACAAAATACTTCTGTTAATCATTCCGTGAGTAAATATATTCTGCAGCAATTCTTTAGCTTCACAATCCTTTCCAAATGTTAATAGAACATTTTGCTAAATAGAATTGATTCGTGGAAAATGTCCTACAAAATTTAATTGGTTTGCTAAAATTTCGATTTGTGCCCAAAGCTTTTCTTGTCAATTGTGTTGACAACGTTTTATTGAATTTTAATCAAATCTAGATTGAAAGAAATATTTTGTTCCATGAAATTCACTTAGT